TCTGCCTAAACCGAAGGACTTACAGAAGACTGGGAAGAAGTGGGTGACTTAAACTAGGTGGATAGAATAGACTGATCTTGCGGGTGATTAAGATGAACTGAAAACAGGATTAATTAAACAAACAAGGAAGACGATTGAACAGAAGTAGCTAAACAGTTAAAAACAGGATACAACAGCACTTATATATATGATACATACATATATATATATATACAATGTCAGGACATATGTATAGATTAAGTAATGGTTGATCTAGAGTTTTAGTTGATTTGGCAGATTGGTCATCTAAATTAGTTTCTAATTTATCTAATTGTTTACCAATTGTTTTTAGACATTGATTAGTATAATTATTTTGTTCAATAACCTTCTTAATTTCAGGGTCAGGACCAGGTAATTTGAAAGGAGAGGCTGGAACTTCAGAACCTTGGTGATCAATAATTATATTTTCTAATGGAGGATGATTAGAACTAACAGAAGTATTTGGAGAAGTTTTCCATTTATGTTTTGTGATTGTATTAATCTTTTTGTAGTATTGATCCATATAATCAAAGAAAGATATTTCAAAACCATATTGAACCATGAAATTATACCATTCTCTAGTTATTCTGGATTGTTGAGTAGAATTATATTTAGCACGATAGGCATGTCTTTTAGTCCTATTGTCTTTGGATCTAAAATCAATAAGTAATTTATCGAGATCAGGAGTAAAATCCTTTTTGATTGTCATTAGTTGGGGATTTACTGGTTGTATAAGTTTTTCGAAATCAGTTTGAGTTGGGGAATTATTTGAAGCAATGTCTTCTTCGGGTAACTGTGTTTGAGTAGTGTAAACAGGTTTACTAATTTGAGAAGTTGTAGAATTATCAATTCCTTTTAATTTATTTGTTGAAGTTGGATTAGTTGGACCAAGATGGATTTGACTGTTTTTTCTAAATAGAGGAGTGTTAAATATTTCATCTTCAGTTGATATTTCGGAAGGGACACTAGATGTACTATGTCGAGAAGATTGACTTCGATTAAATTTAATATTAACTGATCCATCATTGTTTTGCTGGATATGTTGAATGTCTTGGATTGAAGATTGTTGTTGATTATGTTTATAATTTTCATTGACAGTAACCCATTGATCAGGTAAATTAATATCTTTCCATTCAATCATGTGAGGAATATTAATATTGGATTCATTCGTACTACTACTTTGGATGAGTAAAGTTTTATCTTTGGGGCTTTTATGTAAAGCATGAACATTTAAATTAGTTTGCATACATTTATAATGAACACGATATATTAAAGCAATATTATGTGAAGAATCTAACATTTCAGTGAATGTACCATGTAATTGAATGTTTAATGTTAATGCTTTGAGAATATGTGGATCTCTTAAACTTAATGTAAAATCAGGAAAACAATTAAAATGTACTGGACCTTTATTAAGACCAGTTTCCATCATTCCCATTAAACTAGCATTGTAATTAAGAAAGCGGGCATCTCTTAAACAGAGTAAAACAGAAGTATTTTGTCCTATCATATTTGATAGTATGAATGTTTACATCACTAAATTGTTAAGGATTCAAAAAATATTTGTAAGTGTACAATTGTTCAAAAAATTATATTAAATCTGAAAATTAGAATTTAATGCATCAAATGTTCAAATAATAGGACTTAAAATACAAAAATATATTATGTATTAACTCAGATACAAATACTTAATAAGATTTCCTAATAAATTTCTCAATAAAATATTGAGTATAGGGTCCGTTTGGGAAGGCCTTTTTTGGCTATTTTAGTCACAAAAGACAAAATATGCTATTTTAGTCACAAAAAACAAAACATCACATTCAACCCATAATCATTACACTCTTCTCTAAAAAAAAAGTCAAAAAGTTAAAAAGTCCTTCCCAAACCGAACTTTTTAACCCAGACTAAAATAACCAAAAAAATTAAAAAGCCAAAAAGTCAACACACTTTCCAAATAGAGGCTATATATTATTATTTGGTCTAGGACACACAACTACACTCACATTCATACCGTCAGTGTAACATATGCTAACATAGCTTTCGTTGAAATAATGCAAATTTCAAACAAGGAAATAACACTGTATTTGGATATAGATTTCAATAGAAATTTGAAAATTAAAAAGAAATGAAAAAAAAAAAAAAAAAAACCTTATATTTTTATTAACAATTGTCTCACTATTTCCCTTTTTTTTTTTCTTTTTTTTTTCCTTTTTTCTTTTTTCTTTTTAAATTCATACCTAAATTTATTATTCAGATAGCTTGATTTGAAAAAGAAGAGGAACTTAAGTAGATTTTTACCTCTCAAACGATGTCAAGAATGACCCATCTAGATATGAACGATAAAATTCCAACACCATCAATCTTACTCAATCCGAAGTCACGGTGAGCTAGAGATATTCAACTTTGAATGAAGGGTGTACAGAAAAGAAAATTCTGCTGAAACACGAAAAAATCATGAAAGAGGCAACACTTAGCTTTAATACTATATTGATGCCAAGAAGATCTACAAAAACATTCACAGAAACTTAAAGAGCACATAATTTAGATAAATAAGTCCATAAAATAAAAAGAGATACCTCTAAGATCCCAAGATTTTAGCACCATGTGAGATTTTAAATATCTTTCCTTGTCACCAACAAGATTCACAAGAATTTCCAAATCAATTTTCTTCAGCCTTCAATAGCTTAATGTCTTACCAAACCTCAACAATAAAAAAAATGAAAACTATTAGCTTTTGCAAAGTGTATTTATCAAATTGAAACAATGAAACAATAACTATCAATCAAAGTTTTGATGTAAAAGTTTATAGTGGTTTGTTTAAACGAAGGATGAGATGAAACAACAATAATTTAAGCGAAGAGTAGCTCACCTCAGCTTTTTGCTCATCTATCTGCAGATCTCGCAAATTGTAATAATGAATAGAAGAGGAAATATATATATATACGGATGGTTAGTGAAGCAACTAAATTTATCAATTGTGTTTGTTTGATAATTAATCATGTAAAATTTCATAAATATCTTATTTTATTACCATCATATTTGGACTTATACTAACTAGTAAATGCATTATATATTTTAATATTAAATATATATATTTTATAAATATTAAAATTATATTTGATAAATATATATATTTTTGGTACTATTTTATTTTTTTAATATAATTTTTTTGATATAAATATTATTATACAATTATATTTTTATATTAAAATTATTTTTATATTAAATTATTTTAATATAAAGAATGGTGGAGTAAAAAATAATAGAATAATTAAAAAAAAAATAGTAAAGAAAAGACTATACTAATTAAGTAGAGTAAGTAAATTAGGTAGGATAATAAAAGACAAAATAAAAAATCTTTCTCTAATCCCAAGGGATTGTTTTTCTGATATCATCTCCCATAGGAAATTACTAACACATCTATGGAGACCTATCATAATCCAAAGGTATTATGAATTATCTTCCCTATTTTATAAACAAATACAATATTAACGGACCCCACATATATCATAATCCAATCTCATTTCCTATAACCCAAAACAAACGGACCCATAATATACCCAACATTCATAGAGCCAAACACGCCCCTAAGTTAAAAGTCACTTAGGATATCTAAACCCAATTCCAAACTTAATTGTAGGTGTGACCAAACATCACCTTTTAACTCAAAAAAGAAAACAAAAAATTGCAGATTTTTATTTCATTTTGTTTTCATTCTTCTCTCTCTAACTTCTCTCTACCTTTCTCTCATTTTTCCTTACTTTCTTGTTGGCCAAACACCCCACATTTGCTCCACCCTTACACCACCACCTTAACCCACCATCTCCACCACCGCCAGCCATCTTACTTCGTTAGAAAAAGCTTTGATCGCCCGCTCCCCTTTCTTTGAAAATAACACAAAAGATATAGCGATTCCAGTTTTCCCTTTTATTGTTTAACTGTAATCCGGACTCGGTTTCGTGGATGTGTTGTTGTCTTACTCTCATTTCTATCCTTTACTCTTTGTAATTGAGTTTTGGGTTGTGTTGGGCAAGTTGGAAATAAGTTGGTTGTGTTTAGAAACATAGAATTTTTGCCCAGACTTTGGTCTCCCCGCTCAAGCGGCGCTTTTGACGCTCGAGCGGGCCTTTTGTTGTTGCTTCTCCGCTCGAGCGGGGGTTTGGGTGCTCGAGCGTGAATTTCCTTCTCTCATCATTTCGGTCGTCTGCAAAATTTCTGGGGAGGTGAATCCGGCGCTCGAGCGGTGCTTTGGACGCTCGAGTGTGAACCTGTGTCTGACGCTCGAGCAAGTGTTTCCATGCTCGAGCAGGGCGATTTTTATATCAGTCTGAGTTTAGACTTTTTGGATCACTTTTTGATTTCCTTTCTCTCTCTTACTTTTTCAAAACCTCCGTTGGAGAGCACCTCACTCTAAAATCTCAACTTCTCTTTAGGGATTAATCTAGTTAGAGTGATCTCCTACCATTGGGCTTTTACAAAAAGTGTGGGGTTTGTCTTGCTCTACATTTTGATCCAAAAAGTTTGGTGTTTGGAGCATTTCGAGATTTCTTCATCTTCCTCCTTTGAGCTCCGAATTTGAGGTAGGGATTCCTACTTATATTTATGGTCTTTAACATAAACTTGTTGTCATTTTGATATAATGTTGATGTTGGGTGATTTTGGGTGCTAGGGTTTCAAGTGAATAATGAGGGGTTTTGTTCTTTTGACTCATAAATGTGTATTTTGGGTTTCAAAATGAGTTTATTGATGTTGTTGGTAATATTGGAGCCTTTGGGTCAATAATGAGAAAAGGGGGTGAAAAGACCTCATTTGAGTTTATGAATTGATTTGTATAATTAATTCGGAAAGTCGTGGAAATAATGAAATTGGCTTAATATGAGATTAAATGGTGGAGTTGGATTTATTAATCACTCACCTTCGAAATTGTTGATAATTTATCTGTTGATACATTTATTATCTGTTTAGAAATAACTACTTTGGGCTATCGGTGGAGGATAGTCTTGATTGTTGTAGACACTGCATGATGATTAGGTGAATTAAAACTAATCAATTGAAATGAGCCATTGAATATGACGGTTGGATTAACACATCGTTTATGTGCTTTAAGTGATCATTGTATATGATGAGTGTTTATATACATGGGTGCCGAATCCCGCGAATGGAATTTCCGTAAAATGGCAATTTGAAATCATTTATACATGGGTGCCGAATCCCGCGGATGGAATTTTCGTAAAATGGCAATGTAAAACTATTTACACATGGGTGCCGAATCCCGCAGATGAAATTTCCGTAAAATGGCAACTTGAAATTATTTACACATGGGTGCCGAATCCTGTGGACACAATTTCCGTAAAATGGCAGATTGAAATATTGTTGATATTAGATGTAGTCTCATTAAATGGTTTGGCCAGGTTCTGAGCCGGGTTTATAAGTTGAAAATTAGATAAATAGAGGAAAGGGGAATGGACCATGGACATATTTGTCATGGAATTTGAATGTGTTGTAAGCTAATTTATATGAGCTAAACATTTATCAATTGCTAATGTTTTAGTTATTGCTCATATTATATTTAGCATATCTCTACTGGGCGTTGGCTCACCCTATATGGGACATCATTTTTAGATACAGGTGACATGCCACCTCCAAGGACGTAGCTTGGGAGGCTTAGTGGCCGGATGACTCTTTTGTGATTACCCTTTTTGTATTACATGTATATCAAGCCAAGGGCTTATTTTTTGTATAGAGTTAGTACTCTACTTTTGTTGAACCCAAGTGTTGACTTGGAAAATTGTAAGCTCATAGGGCATTTACTTCTGTTGTCAACATGTAATACTTTTGTAAGGAATACTTTGATATATGAAATATGTTTTATTCTCTTAAGTTTATGGATGTTAAGAATGTATGAATTATGGGTTTATTTTGAGGGCGTTATGAAAGAAGTTCTAACTCTAGATTTTTCTTAACCTCTTGAAGGATCAAAGCTTGGAGTTTCTTTTCTTGAGGGATTAGAGGTTTTAGAGCATGTTTGGTACGATGAAATGAGCTGCAATGGAATGCCCATTATAGCCTTGCATTCACTTTCCCTTATTTGGTATTCTTTATCTAAGTGAGAATCATCATTCCATTAGAATGGCTATTCCAACGAAATATGGGAATGCCTATTCATTCCTCCAACTTAAGGAATGACTATTCCATTCCATCATGGAATTAATAAATTTTATTATTATTATTAGTATTATTATTATTTGTTAACACTTACAAAATATATTATTATTTAGCTACTATCACCATTTCGTTCTCCTATTATTATCACTGTCATTGCCACCGTCATCGCCACCTTATTGCCACCACAACACCACTACCACCACCATCACCATCACCACAATCGCCGCCTCAACCACCACACCACTATACTACCACCATTCACGTTACTACTACTGCCTCTACCTCCATAACCACTACCTTGTTGCTACTACTATCACCTTCATAAATATCACACCACCACCATCACCATCACAAGAACCACCACTTTACTAATGTTGGCTGCCGCTATTGCCACCACCATCGCAGTTATAATATCACCTTACCACCACCACTAAGGCCACAACAATCTACTACCACTATTCTACTATCATTGCTATCACCACCATCGACGACACCGCCACCACCACCGCCACTACGACTCACACCATCACTTCCACAACTATCAACATTATCATGATCTATGTAAATTTTTAATTTATTTGTTACTAGCTTGTTAAAAAAATAATAATAATAAAAACTTATTTCATTCCATGAGATAATAGGCATAACCAAACATAAGAATGAAAATTGTTATCATATTCCTATATCATTCCATGTTGGCAACCAAACAATGGAATGAGAATGGGCATTCCATTCCATTCAACCTTATATTCCATTTTCACTCTCATTTCATTCCATCAGACGAAACATGCTCTTAGTTTTTATGGATGTTTTGTATGTATAAAAATTATTAATATGTTGTAGTTTTCATTGAAAGTATTTCCCTAATTTTAGATTTTATTTACTCATTGTTAGGATTGGAGGAAAGTGTCTTTACACCTCTTAGGAATTAACTTGTAGTTTTTCAAATCTATACTTTTTGTTATTTTGGAGGTGAATATATCTTACCATAGAAAACATTACCTCTATTTGAAATACAAAATTTGAGAATGAATTAAATTACATGGGTTATCATGATATTAGTATGTATTGAAAAATCTATAAATTTAATGAGGTCAAAAACCAAGTTCAAATCAAGGATTTCATTTGTATAATGAAGCATCAATTTTTCTATGAAAATTTATTTAATGTGAGTCTTTCAAATTTTATAATGATGATGATGGAATGGCAATGAAACGTTATATGAAAATTGTCATGACCCGAACCCGCTCCTAAGAATTAAGGTCATAACCGGCCAGTAATCAAGAGATTACCTACGGCCTCAAACCTGATTATACATATATTAATAGTAATAAGGGCCAAAGTGGAAGCAGACTTAAAAATTTTGTCCAATGAGCTGTGCTTACATAATAAGGCAAAACATTTCTTGAACAGTCCATAATAACTCACACATAAAAATAGAGTTAATATCTTATACATCTAGGAACTTCAAGACATGCAGTCAGCCAAACAAAACAAACTTATATACATGGGTGATCCAACGTATTCACCAAGATGGCAAAAAGGGTAAACAAAAAAACAAAAACAAAGTCTCGTGCATGAGACATTCGGGCTGACTCCACAAGACTTGACTTTGTCTCACATACTTCACCGAAGTTGGGTTTGGACATCTCTTTGCTCACCTACACACATATGAATGAGAGTGAGCGGAAGCCTAATGAATAATATCAAAATAAAGAGTTACATGAATGAAATTTATATCGGACATATCGAACGGCCTTAGGCCCATTCACGTTACTATCTAGTACATCGAACGGCCTCGGGTCCCTTTCATTCATATCAAACGGCCTTTGGCCCAATCATTCATGTCAGACAGTCTTTGGCCCAATCATTCATGTCAAACGGCCTTTGGTCCAATCATTCATATCGGACGATTTTTGGCCCAATCATTCATGTCAGACAGCCTTTGGCCTAATCATTCATGTCAAACAGCCTTTGGCCCAATCATTCATGTCAAACAGATGTTTGTTCACAATTCAAATTAACAAATCCATGGAACTCATGTAGGAGTAAGCATTTGGAAAGTAGTATACTTCAAAATATACTTATCAAAATATTACTCACAGTGTTCTGCCGATGGTTTTGCACTTGTGCTTGACCCTACACATTTCATAACACATTGGGTCATAAGCAATTCAATCCATTCTTAATTTATTTATTTCTCTTAGGCATCTTTCTTATCCTTTTAGGTCGTTTACAATGCTCAATGTATGCCTAAGAGTGTTTAGGAGTGAAAGAGAACGGAAAACAAAACACAAAACAACTTTTCAAAAGTTCTGAAATAAGGCTCTCCGCTTGAGCATAGCTTTGGTCACTCGAGCAGACCCCTTTGGTCTGCAAAAGTATTAGTTACGTGTAATTCACGCTTGAGCAAGATTCTTGACGCTCGAGCAAGGAGTCTTCGCAAAACAGAGTTCGCTCGAGCGTAAAGTCTGCTGCTCGAGCCACTGTGCAATTTCTGCAAAACTTCTGGGAGCCAAATTTTCACGCTCGAGCAAGACTTTCCTCGCTCAAATGGACTGGTTGAATTCTGGGTTTTCCAGAATTCTATTTGAAGTTCAAAATACAGTTCCAAAGGTCTAAAGCTTGCAATTCTTGTACCAAAATATGGAAAAACATTGCCTAGTATGTAAACATGGGTAATTTGAAGCCAATTGTCCAAAAATCGTGATCCATATTTCAAATCATCACAAACTCTTTTGTAATTTCAAAATTCATGCAACTAAGCCTCTAATCTTCATGAATCATGTATGCATGTAAAATATTTACTCCAATTCCACTTCAAATGCTACAAATGATGCTCAAGGTCATAAAGCTCAACAAAACTACACATGCATGAGTGATTTGACACTCAATTCTACATACTTAACATGCCATAAACTCAAATGTATATAAAGCTCACATGCATGTCTATACAAACTTCAATTTCATCATATTTAGCTCAATTCTTGTTCTTGGTTACATACCATGCTAGAATTCATGCAATTATGAGCTTAAACCCAAGAATTTGAGTTCATTACTTACCTAGGAGTTCTAATCTTCAAATTCCTAGCTAGTTCTTGAGTTATCTTCCTCAGTCTTCAAGCTCCTTGCCCAATTCTTCAAATTTTGCCTTCCCTCACTCTCTAGAGCCGTCTCTCACTCTAGAGTGTAACTTCAAATTTGGAGCTCATAATGTAAGCTTAAGTGTGTTTGGCCCTTATATATACTAAGGGGTTAGTTTAGACTAATCCATCTTAATTAAGGTTAACCAATTGAGTCTAATTCAATCAGTTTAATCCAATTATTTTGATCCGAATCGATTTTTAATTAAACTTCACCATAGCCTCTAAAAATCATGCTAATCGCAAAAATACAAACAATTTTAGTTCCTGTCGCCACTATAGCGTTCAATTTAAATTCTATGGTAGAAAATCAAACAAATTTTCTTACGGTGAATAGATAGAAATTCAAAAACATGTATAATCATATAAATGGCACTCAAAATCATATTAAGCATATAATCACAATCAAACTTAGGATCAATTAACATAACACGAGACAGGGTTATCACAAAAATACTTATTTTTGTTGATCATATAACCAAATATAGTCTATAAGGCCACAAGGGCCAAAATGTTTTGGAGTCCTAGAACCGAAATATTTTAAGGACCATAAGGGTCATTGTACATAAAGGGTCATGGAGACCAAAATATTGAAATAAGAATTGAAATACTTTAATGAAATGAGTTATGTTCCTATGAATATACTTTGGATAAGGATACTGTCACCATTCAAGTCGCGAGATAAACTGTGAAATCTCGTATTTTTGAGATATTAATATCTTAATGAGTGGTATTAGTAATTTATTATAATAATTTAATGATGAAATTTTTAGATGAAAGTCTAATTTAAATTATTTCTTTATATTTATTTTATCCCTTTTATACTTACCTCATAATTATTCATCTCTTTATAAAAATAAATCTACATCCACTTTTCATCTTTTTTCCTTATCTTTTTTGGGTGAATAAAAAAAATAGATCCAAAAAAAAAATAAAAAATAGACAAAATAAAAAATAGACTTTTTCCTTATCTTTCACTCCACCTTTCGGTGGTATTAAAAAAAAAAACAAACGTGGCCAACCCATTTCTTTACCTTTACCTGCCACCATTTCTTTTCCTTCCTTTCTTTTCCTTTCTTTATCTTTTTTACTCCTTTTTTCAATTTTTTAATATTCTTCCTCCATTCCTATTTCACTTTACGTGGCCAACCCATTTCTTCACCTTTACCTGCCACCATTTCTTTTCCTTCCTTTCTTTATCTTTTTGACTCCTTTTTTCAATTTTTTAATATTCTTCCTCCTTTCCTATTTCACTTTCTTTCTTCAATTGTTTCTCTTCTTCTGCTTCTTCTCATCCCAAGAAATGATTGGGAGCCGTAATTTTAAAATTTTTTAAAAAAATTTAATGTTATTTATTTATATATATATTTTCTTAAGAAAAATTATTCATAAATCTCATATTAAAAAATATTATTCTATTTAGTCTTGAGTATTTTTTTATAAACCATTTAATTTTTTTTATATTTGGTATGGTATCTTTGTTTATTATATTGTATAAACATCAAGCAATTGTAATATAACAAAACGTTGATGTTTATACAATATAACAGAACATTTGTAAATAAAGTATAATGCAGCGGAATAAAAATTATGATCATACCTTTCAAACAGAGTCTGAATTGAAAGATCTCGTTGTAAATCATGTGCTTCCTAAATCTGGTCAATCAACCCAGCAATGGGGTGATATTACAATAGTGAATATCGCCCACACAAACCACAATGCAAATGGCTTTGATCATTGTTTTTGAGAGAGAGTCAGTATATGGAAAAAACTCAAACATACGTTATTTTTTTCTTAATCACCCATATCTTATATATCAGATATATAATCTATTTATCCCATTTATCCATATTAGTTATATGAGATAATATCTGATATCTATATCATCTATCCATATTAGGATATGATAGATATATATCCTGAGTGGTTATCCAAATAGGTTTGAATTCAAATTCAAAACCCATTTGGATAAGGTTCAAAAGACTGAAAAGGGTCATGCCACATGGGCGCCCATTTCTAACATCTCCCAGTCGCACATGAGTTGGCATGACACTGCCACATCTCTATCTCAATCTCCCAAAAAATGAACAATCTCATACTAGCCAATGCACCGTGCGTCCGCTGAGAACACCTGCAAGTGGGAGCTCTATACTAGAAACTCAATATGAGTCAGCATAGAGACATCAATCCAAAAAGAACAGAAATAGTGTCTCATGTACCTAGACCCATCTAGCTACATCAGTCCAAAAATATCTCTAATCCCTCAAAGAGCATGTTTGACTGTCCTAGGTCCCGTATTATATTCACACCCAATCAGCATCCTATAAAGAGCGAGGTGAGTTGTTGACAGTGAATATAGAGCAGAGATGTAGAACTAGATGATCTTCCCTTCACCCTTATATCATCCAATTTGAAATTGACCGCTTTCCCAGTAATGTCCCTTAAAGCCGAATCATACATGACCGCAGGCAACATATCAAAGTAGCTGAACATCAACTCCTCATCTTATGACATAGTCAAAGGTCACAAACAACACAAAGTGAAGTCATTTAGGGAAAAATGACTTTTAGGACTCACACGGTGAAGAAGCATAGATCCATTCTTTCACCTCGCTAACGGGTCGATAAGCACATATAGTATGAATACATGTTACAGTGGAGTAACTCTTCCAAAAGAGTGACGTCATACTTGATACACCGTACAGATATTAGTCTAGTCGCTTTCTAGTGCCTAACCCGAATTCTCTATTTGCTCGCCTTTTAGGCGCCAAATGAGATCTTGCATCTGGCTAATCATAACAAGTACAACATGGAAAGTGGGTACTAATATCCATGTTTGATCCTTAACACGACCTCATCTTGGTTGTAACCAAGGCGACATACATAGTGGATTATTTAAGCCTCTCTTGGCTCCAAATAAAAATAAACCACTAGTCTCATCCTTACTCGCTCCCAAGCGCCAAGGGCGATTGCTCGTGTGAGTGAGCCAATCTTGCCTGCTAACATCATCATCTTCTAATCATTATGACACAAATCATAATAGTGTCAACATCCCATCATCTCAAAATGAGTGATCGATTTTAAAAAAATTTGACCACAGCTTGCGCAATTCTAAATTCCAACCATAAGCATTATCAGCACTTCTTGCGATAAGTATATACAACAGAATCCACCATGTGCGCCTCACATGAAGTGATTCAAGATCACAATTCTAGATTCCAAACATAAGCCTTATCAGCACCTCTTACGATAAGTATATACAACGGAATCCACCATGTGCGCCTCACATGAAGTGATTCAAGATCACAATTCTAGATTCCAAACATAAGCCTTATCAGCACCTCTTACGATAAGTATATACAACGGAATCCACCATGTGCGCCTCACATGAAGGGCATTGAATCTTACAAGGAGCAAATTAATATACTACTAGTAAAGCATTCTATCCACAGTCTAATGAGCAAGGTCAATGTCTAAACAACTCAGTTGACCATTTACCAAAGATAACTCTTATCATGCCGAATACGCCTACATAGCGTAATTTAGGGTCCCATAACAAAGAAAAGATCAAGGAATATAGGTTATCTGTTTCTTTCAAAGACAATTCGAGGATTCACTCAATAGCTAAGGCTCTGGCTTTTACCGATAGATAAGTTAATGGGTTTGCAATTTTGCATCTAGAATCGTTCTAGGATATTCCTTATGTAAGTCATCGAAGAAAAAACATGAATTCTCCCAAAACAATCCCTAAGGATCGTACATCCGAGCATATAAATTACATCACCCATGTCCATCATATCTAAAACAGAGGACTGCCCACCCTAGGTGGTGACAACCTTATAAATTCTTAGCTCATAATGACTAAGTAAGGAAAAAGTTCTTTTTGGACCATTGATCATACCTCAGTGGTCTTCATCGATCATTGTCAGCCTATCATGGCTTGACGAAATCTAAGAACCATTATTTGGATAACTATTTTAGGCTGTAAAAGATTTATTGGAACTAGCAACCTTTTTGTGCTCCTAACTTTTCACCATAAAAGCAGAAGGTAAATCCCTATGGATCTACTTATCCAATTCTCCAACGAGAAGTTGGGTCACAATGTCCACAAATCAATGTTCCGAACTTATGTCAATCATAGGCTAAGTCGAAATAACATCACTCCCCAAGAGGAAGTCTTCTCATGGTCTACACTTTCCTCAATGGTGCGACTTTTCGGTATCTAGTGAGCCTTATGCCTCAACAATGACTATCCAAATTACGCATAATTTTAGAACAGTTTCACGTCATAATGGAAAGTCAACCAAATTATAGAAATGGTTAATCCTCAAAGACTTTGTCTTAAGCTGCGCAACATTAATCCACTTTCTAAAAACAGGGGACTAGAGCCTTTGGCATTATCCTAGGCTCTTTATCATCTTGCGGAGCAATTATGAATGTTTCCCTCTCAATCACCCAGTGATGACGTGGAAAAATTTCACAATTGCTACTACGCAACTAAGAATGTAGAGTATTCTTCTCTAACGAATTAATCCATTAGTAGGCACATTGCTCCCACTGTCCCTAGGATATTGGAAATTTCTTTCCATTCTCAACTAGGCTACATAAAGCGCTATGCTTAGAATTCTCTATCTTATAGAGTTCCAAAAACTCTATTCACGTCACCTTTATTAAGAAAACTTTATGTGACTTAGTCACACTCCCACAAAGCTGCTTACCTATATGCACATGACTCGGAGGGTTTACATGATAGCATACAATAATGTGCTACGTGACCATATGTGTTTACAAGACAGCATACAATAATGCGCTATAGAATCCTAGGTCTTAACTTCGCAACCTTATGAGAAGTAAAACAAAGATAAGTTGCTTAATGGTTACAGATCGTCCATAGATGGCTCTCCGCTAACCCATTACTCAAGTGGAGTGTAAAATCTGATATGGAGGGCACTTAGTTAGGGATATAGGCAATAAACTAGTGCAATTCCCAATTGGGAAACATTTTGCGCCAATATCCACCTAACATTAACAATATTTAATTCCTTATCTTTACTACACCATTGTGTTATTGAGTATTAGGAATAATC